GAGCCCTATTATTTAAATAGGCGGCCGATAAAGTCTGTGGTATGCGATGGCTCTTATAGCTGTATCCTTACATCTATTCCGTGTGTTGCAATATCCACGAAAGCAGCAGTTAATTTTTTATGAAGAAAATTATTAAAAAATATTCGAAAATTATTATTTATTTTTCCAACGTCAAAAGCTGGATTTTTTTTGAAAAAGTTGGTACAACAAAAAATACGAAACACGTTTTCTGTCAGATAGCTAACATGGCGGATAAGAAGAAGAAGTGAAACTACCTTCTAAAAATTATTGTATCATGCAGTTGCCTATAAAATGTGACTATAAGGGAGCCGAATGTCAGTAAATAAAACGAGAAAGCCAAGGTACATTGAACAGGTAGTATCAGTAGAGCAGCTGATTTGATTTATTTTCAAATTATTTGGTCTCGAAAATGTCAAATATTTTTAATTTTTTCTCACAAAAATTCTGAATTGTTAAAATCCATTTGCATGTGAAACTTTTTTCCATACAAAACAAGCGATTGAATAGCAGCTTTTGGAACGTTCGCCCAACTCAGCAGCACACCTCCCCCTATAGAACTTCTTCTGAAAAAAAAAAAAAATTTAGATAGAATTTCGCTGAATTTTTATAAGTTTTGCAGAAAGTTTGAAATATGAATTTAAATGGCTTTTCTTAGTTATTGAGATATACTTTTATAAAAAAATAATAAATATTAAATAAATTAAAGAAAAACGGAAAAAGTTGTTAAAATGTCCTGTCCCTAAAAAAAGTTCAAATAAACAATTGGGCATTATTCTCTGAAGTCCTCTGAAGAGAAGCAGAGTTTTCGGATTGAAAAATTTTGATTTTCATGGATTCTATGCCATTTTTACGAAAAGTATTTTTTTCCCCATACAAAATACATGGGTATACTTTTTTTCGGTATAGAACAATCCTAGGGGGTGAGAGCATTAAATTTCCGACTTTACTTTTTTTTGGACCACCCTAATACACATACATATGTACATATGTACATAAGCACTTGTGTACGATCTTTTTGCTTGCTGGCTTAAGATGTTTTTATGTCCATACGAAATGCTCTTGAGATAGAACTTTTGATCACGAAAAGTTTGAACTCAATAAATTCTTATCAAGAAAATCCTATTTACAAATCGTCGGTGATACTGCAAAACGGTCTATGTCTATTAGTACCCTTGACACTGATATGGTCTCTTACTTGCTTCGGAATGCATTTGCATATCGTTACACCCTAATAAACGAATGACAAAACTGTCTACTTTGGCTGATGAAGATGAACGATTGCCAGAAGCGATCAGATACAGATAACAGATTAATTAAGCACCAGAGGTAAATATCGTAACCATAATATATGTACATATGTAGAAAGGCCATATCTCACATCGACGCTGAAATACAAAAAGCCGTAACTAACTAAAAATCAAAAATTCACATTTTGATTGATTATGATGCATTCCATCGAATTATAAATCCCCACATCTTTTTATGCAATACACAATTTTAGTCAGTCACGTTTTTTTTTTGCATTTCAGCGATGTATTTCACCTTTTCCCACTGGGAAAATAGGTAAGCACCTTGCGAGGTAAGCCATGTTTTCTTTCAGTTTTTAGTACCAAAATTGTCATCATGGCCAATGTCATCTACAAGTAAAGGGAAAAATGAACACCTCCGAAGACACATTACGTTGTCAGTTGAAAAATAACGTGCAGCCGAAGTTATTTCCAAGCACCGAACTATTCCGAGCGACTGCTCTGCATTACTAGTAACTTACTTTGTAAAGCGGCTCAGAAGTATGTCTGATACCAAATGTACATTCTAAATTCCTACTTACATAAGGCGGCCATGCCTTTGTAAAAGTAAGGGACGTTCGGCAGGGAAATGGTAATGACTGCCAGGTGAAGAGTAAGTTGCTAATAAGGTATTATTACGTGCTCCTAATTCCCACTGGGTTCTCTATTAAGGTACCGATGTGTATGTATGTACGCACGTTTAATATTTAATGTAGAGATGTAACTCAAAATTTGCGTTTTGCAGATTCATTATGCAATTGTTAAGCTTGATAAGTAGAATATGTGCAGTCTAACAGATAACCAAACTTCCCAAATATGTGGAAAATATGTGTATTTCCATCTGTCTTTTCGTATACCAACTGTATGAATTGATAAAACCTTGAACGCGTTTTCCCACAAAATTTAAATTTTGAAATACTTCGTTATGTTATTAAACGTGCGATATTCCTACAATATGCATGGTGCAAAGCAATAAATATCTAGCAATTTATCAAAAAACAGTCACCTCTTAAATGCACGTAGGTACAATTAATAATTTATCAGCTATGGAATTTCTGGTTGAGTTACAACTTTCTATTGTAGAAATACCAAAAATTATTAAGTGGCAGTTATCAGCTAAATATGTAGCTTAAAGTGGAATACGAAGAACGAAAAATTAAATATCAAGAGTTCTACCGATCCCAAGTCTGCTAAAACATGTATCCAAGGAAAAAAATCAAAAATTATCAATTTTTTTCCTTAACGGTAAACAATATTGGTGTGGCGAAGTATCGATATTTTTAATTAGAGTTCTGAGTACTTTTCTTCAATATACACATGTTCGTAACATTTCAATGCTTAGTGTAGAAATCTCACCAACTGGCCGCACTTTATTTAAATCAATTACGACGATTGAATGGTGCCGAAATCAACAGAAATAAGGTCAATTGATACTATTTCGCATACTGGAGCGTAGCTTCGCGGCGGCCCGCGCGTCGTACTTTGGAGTACTCAGTATCGATACTTTTAAAAATAGGGTACTTTCGATCTTTTTAAGAATCGAGTTCTGAGTACATTTGGTATTGGTACTGTCCAGTATTAGTAAATGTTATCATCAACATAGTACGGCAAAAGTTCCAGACTGCCTTCCTGGCAGTCAAGAGGCCTTCCGCTTTGCAATCCTGGTTTTTATTTGGAGTGGCCTTCGTTGCGCATAGAAGTTCTTTAATTCATAAAAATCATATTTCTTTAAGGTATTTTTTAAAGTTTCTATAAAATATATTTTATTACAACCAAAATGCGTATTGAAATAAATTTAGTTTTCCATTTAATTTAATTTGTTTATTGTCAAAACTCTAGTACAATAAGATCTGCCATCCTTTATAGTACAACAAATAAAAGGTAATATTAGGAAAATAAAATAAAGGAGTAGTATTTATGAAAGCTAAGATTTATAATAACGTACAAACCATTACAAGCAAACCAGTTGATATACTTATTGACCAGAAGAGAGTGTAAAAATTCCCAGTTTGTGTATTACTTGTAATAATAATAATTATTTTTTCATATACATATCGCTAGCCTAGAAAGAAAAGTTGCTAAGTCCCATTTTAAAAATTTTACAGGAGAGGAAAAAATCTTCCTATAGCCATTTTCTTTAACTATTTCGCAAGACTTTGAATCAAACATTTTGCGCGTTTAAAGCAAAGCAAAACTCCATAAGAATCAGATTCGATATTTATTAAAAGATGTCGTATTATTTTGGCCTTAACGGATTTGTGGTGCTTCTTTTGGACTTAGCAAATTTTCCTTTTATTGCTTATGAAGAGGAAATAATAAAACAAGTACCTTTATAATTTTCGAAACGATGCGTATTCAATTTCTTTAGCCTCCTATATCAAAATATGAGTTTTTATAAAAAGTGGACTTAGCAACTTTTCACTCTAAGCTAGCGATATGTACATATATATGTATAAGTTTTTTTTTTTAAGCATGAAGCACAAAATAATAACTATAATTGGTGTTTGGTTTCTCATTCGGACAAACAAAATCACTTCATCAGATTTTTTTAAAAATTGGATTAACGATTAATGATTAAAATTAATTAATCGTAATCAAAATAAGTTTAATCATAAATCGTGCAGATGATAACGATTAATTAATTTTAATCGTTAATCATGATGAACATTTTAATCGTTAATTTTTAATCGTTAATCAGATTAACATTTTGTCAACACTGAAAATTTATCAAGCAAAATAATTTTTTTTTTTTTAAATTTAATAACTACTTAACCACTAAATATTTTATTACATGCATTAAATTAATTTTTATTAATGTACAAATANATATGTATAAGGTGTTTTTTTTAAGCATGAAGCACAAAATAATAACTATAATTGGTGTTTGGTTTCTCATTCGGACAAACAAAATCACTTCATCAGATTTTTTTAAAAATTGGATTAACGATTAATGATTAAAATTAATTAATCGTAATCAAAATAAGTTTAATCATAAATCGTGCAGATGATAACGATTAATTAATTTTAATCGTTAATCATGATGAACATTTTAATCGTTAATTTTTAATCGTTAATCAGATTAACATTTTGTCAACACTGAAAATTTATCAAGCAAAATAATTTTTTTTTTTTTAAATTTAATAACTACTTAACCACTAAATATTTTATTACATGCATTAAATTAATTTTTATTAATGTACAAATAAAATTTTGCTCATAAGAGATGTTAACTTACATTCATAGGTACATTCTTATAATTGAGATTTTCTTGAGAGTATGATTCCCGACTTTGAAGATTGTTGCTTATGACCACAGATTTATTAATGGCACTTATTGTTTCTATGAGCCAAGCATCGCTTCACAGTAAAGAACGGAAAGCATGATTTCTTGGATTTCTTAAACAAATACTAGTACTGTTGATTTGTATTATTTGTATTAGCAGGAAATTTTAATAAGCTCTTCAATTAAGGTTCTATGATTACTTTACACATGTATGTATGTATATCTATGCACATTACATATGTACACTAGTATAAATATGATGCAATTATAGCACATCTATATAAAATACAACTCTTGTTGTCATTATCATTCAGATATTATATAGAATTGTGGCGTGCATATACGAAAATTGTTCGTAAACTTTTTATTATGTGTGCATAAACGTAAATTGGAGCATATTTTCCTTTTTAGAAAGCCAACACCCCCTTGCCGAAAAAAATTTGCAGAAAGGATGACAAAGATAATAAAAAGTCGGAGCTTCATAGTGGATTTACTGTCGATACTTTTTGGCATAGGCACATGGATAGGTGTAAACGGTAAAAATCATACTTAATAACACTGAATGTTTTATATTATACACAACATTTTATTACTATTTTAGGTACTTTTATTCAAGTACCGCTGCTAGTAAAAGAGGCGCCAGAAAGTTGGAGTTTAGCATCGTATCTAAGCGTTGCGGTACAGATTGGAAATATAGGTCCGATCACGTACACCCTCATACAACACTTTGCGAAGAAGAGGATAAACGATTCGCTATTCATTTATGTTTTGTTGGTGGTGGGCACATTGGCAGCATTGTTCACCAGCTTCTTCTATAGTGAAACAGTGGTAGTATTTGGCGAGGAACGCAGCTTAGCTCTATATATACTCACATTTTCATCCGCTCTCACGGCATGTACAAGTTCGGTGCTCTTTATGCCTTATATGGGTCGTTTTAAGGAAATGTACTTAGTAACGTAAGTAAAAATTAATTAAACTGTTTCATACAATGTGGCTTTATAATATATATACTTATAGTATTAAATTTTTTAAAAGTGAGCATATTTTCCAAAACAAATAAATTTTTTCTCTGTTTTAAATAGATATTTTGTGGGGGAGGGCCTAAGTGGTTTGTTACCAAGTGTTCTATCACTGGTGCAGGGCATCGGTGGTGATGCCGAATGCGTCTTGGTGAACAACACAATATCCGGTGAAGAGGTCTACGAGAAACAAACACTTCCTCCACGCTTCGGCTCTATGGAATTCTTCCTATGTATTTTCGCTTTGTTTGTATGCAGTGGCATTGCTTTTACTCTGCTGGATCGACTTAAATTAGTAAAGCAGGAATATGTTGCAGGCCAAATCGATTTTGGCAACAACTATAAATATGAAGAGGATACCACGCCTAATACTACAGACCATGCTGCAGTTACAGAGACTCCCAATAACGAAAATAAGGCGACACAAATTTCAGCCAACGAATATATTTTACTGTTGCTACTTATTGGCTGCTTATCCTTCATGGCCAATGGCATGTTCAACTCCATACAATCTTACTCAAGTTTACCGTATGGTAACCAGGCGTACCACCTCTCTGTGACTTTGAGTGTAATTGCTAATCCGGTGGCGTGTTTCTTAGCGATTTTTGTGCCCCATACATCGTTGCGGCCTATCTATGTGCTATGCTCGTTGTGTGCCGTTTTGACTGCGTACGTGTTTGTTACAGCTTCCATGAGTCCATTACCGCCATTGCATGGCACCACCGCAGGATCGGTGATCGTGGTAAGCTATTTCATAAATAAATAACTTTACATGTGAATTCCTTTTGTAAGTATAACTTTTCTTCAAGATAATTTGTTGGACTTTGCTAATTGGATTGGTGAGCTATACCAAGCTATCAATTTCGTCAATTATGCGCGCTCAGGGTGGTCGATCTCTCGTATGGACTGGCGGACTTACACAAATTGGTGCTCTTTTCGGCTCGGTGCTTATATTTATTTTAATAAACTACACAAACAGTTTTCAAGAATCAGAGGGAAGCGATTGCTAAAATAAAATATTGTATGTAAAATTCTTATGTATTCGAAATATATACATATATGTATGTACATATGTATATATGTGGGTAAGTAAATATTTTACTTAAAGCCAGATGAATGAATGATGTTTACAGAACGGCAAATAGTACAAACATTTAGTAATACATTTTCATCATTTTTTAATATTAGATACATTTTCATTTTAAAACTAAATTGTTTGCGAAAGTGCGTTTTGAGTTGTCGCAATTACTTTTTAAGATTTTTTTATATAACGAGCTCAAAAAGGATTTTATGGTTATCTAGTGAAATGTGTGAAAAAATGCATTTTATTGAAAAATAAAATTCAAATAACTCTGATTCAAAAACACTTCCTTCATAAGTTGAAGCATATGGTATGTATAAGAATAAGGAAAGTTTTTTCAACGGAAGATCTTAAAAAAATTAGATTAACTAAAAATACGCTGTGTTTTATTGTAAAAAGCCCATGTGTCACAGTTTCTAAACTAGCGCTGGTACAGAAATTTCAATCACAGATATGAAATCGTCATTAAAAATTAAGCTAGTATCATGTAACATAACCTAATAATCACATATGCTGTTGTGCAGTGTAATCAATTTACATACGCACAGTGGGAGAAATGGCCATTCTGGCGGCGCCTTGTTAATAACTTCGAAAAAATACAAAGTATTGAAAATGTCCTTTTAAAACTTTATCCTTGAACATCCTTGGAAATTTTCAATATTTATTTCTGAAAAAAATATATATTGCAAGGACTATTATGTTAACTACCATATCATCGAATTTCGGCCCTCTAACTTTATTAGTTTTATTTAAAAAAAAATTTACACTTCTCTTTATAAGATATTGATAGTTACAATATACATAAATGAAGATACTGGAATCATATATTTTTTCCAAAAATAAATATTGGAAATTTGTAAAGATGTTCAAGGATAAAGTACATTTTCAACACTTACTCGTCCTGGTGCTTCTAAAAATTATTTTTTTCGAATTTTTCCTTTTTAGTGATATCCCATATTGTTNGCAATATACATAAATGAAGATACTGGAATCATATATTTTTTCCAAAAATAAATATTGGAAATTTTTAAAGATGTTCAAGGATAAAGTACATTTTCAACACTTACTCGTCCTGGTGCTTCGAAAAATTATTTTTTTCGAATTTTTCCTTTTTAGTGATATCCCATATTGTTACTCTACAATGCACCAAATCGTTTAAATCATTTGTTATTCAATCATATCCTAGAAACTTCAAAGTCCTTTAAAAAAATATCCTGACGTCAGAGGGAAAAATTAAAATCGCAGTTATACTAAAATTGGCTCCTAGTTTTGCGAATTTATTGATTTTTTCGTTTCTTAAAAATTTTTGGTTTTTATCGCACGGTGTAATTAGGCCTCGGAATCTCATGCAAATGCCTGTTTTTATTGGGCATCTTCAAATGGAAATGGTTAAGTTATCATTAAGAATCATGAAATTTCCTTTAAAATGGCATTTAATCGTTACTGCATATTTTTGCATATTTTGCAGTAAGGGCATGATTTTGTATATTATGCAAAAGTCAGGTATTTTTTGCATATTTCTTGCGCATGTTTTAGTATAATTTACAGTAAATGTATGTGGTTTTTGCATATTTTTACTTTTTATGATTTATAACCATTTAAATTTGGTGCGAAATTGCTTGACAAAAAAATTGCCGTTGAGGCACTCTCTTCTACCTCAGTTAGATCTCAACTAGTAGAAGACTGTGGGAGAGAACTGGCCTATATATCTGATCAATACGAATTTACCCTAATATTGGTCCTGGGACATAGGGACATTTATATTAACGAGGCAGCGGACGAACCAGCAAGGTGCGGCTCCGTACTGAATTTGTCTCACCCGGTGGACATGAGTGCCTCGCTCAGGAAGATAAAAGCAACAATTACCGAAATTNATTACCCTAATATTGGTCCTGCGACATAGGGACATTTATATTAACGAGGTAGCGGACGAACCAGCAAGGTGCGGCTCCGTACTGAATTTGTCTCACGCGGTGGACATGAGTGCCTCGCTCAGGAAGATAAAAGCAACAATTACCGAAATTTATCACTCAAAGGCCAAGCAGAGTTGGAACCATGCAGGATCGTACAGGATTACCCGGCAGTTCTGGGTGTCCTATGACCCACTTTAATCCAAAGTTCTTTTAGGAATGAGCAAAGAAGATAACTACAAACTTATTGCAGTATGCACAGGGCACTGGCCCGTTGGGGTACATGCCAAAGGATTGGATTGCCTTTCAAAAGGTTCTGTCATAGGTGTGATGACCTTAGCTCAAAAGAGATAGTCGAACACTTCCATCACCCAACGGCAGCGCTCCGACCAACGAAATTCGCACAGTGATCTATTTATACATAAAAAAAACCTTTTTTAATTGCATATTTTACTTGTTTAAAGCGCATATTTTAAATTTTTTAGTGCATTAAGCTGATGTCACATAAAACTTTTGCTTCGCTTTACGTGACAGATTCGCTTTGACAGATAAGATGAATTGTATGAAAATGCACAAAGCATGCCACATAAATCGTTGAAGCGGCAGCGCGAAGCGAAAAGATGGTCAACTCCCATCTTTTTGCGCGCTTTGACAATCAGCCGGTTTAATATTTATTTTGTTTCGTCCAAATTCGGGTTTTCATGCAGAAACATAAAACTTAATTACATTGCTGATAATTTTAAATCAAAATAATTAAAATCCACAGCAACTTTGATGAGTAAAAAAGCGGTACAACATTGTTTTCTTGGCGTTCATTGTGGCATACCTTTTGCGTCTGGCGCTTTNGTTGGGGTACATGCCAAAGGATTGGATTGCCTTTCAAAAGGTTCTGTCATGACCTTAGCTCAAAAGAGATAGTCGAACACTTCCATCACCCAACGGCAGCGCTCCGACCAACGAAATTCGCACAGTGATCTATTTATACATAAAAAAAAACCTTTTTTAATTGCATATTTTACTTGTTTAAAGCGCATATTTTCAATTTTTTAGTGCATTAGATTCCGAGCCCTACTGATAATAAAACTTAATTTTTATTACTACTACAATTTTTTAATAACTACTAAAAATGTTCTGTAAAATAAACGAAATTTCATTACCAGTAAAATTTTTACAGATTATGGAAAATATTTACTGAGGGTTAAAAATCACTCAAATCGCATACACCATAAGTGACAGGTCAAGGTGTAGGTAGGATATTTTCATGGATTGTTGTCGAAAGCTGAAGTTTTAATTCAAGACGAGGTGGAAGGTTCCATCTCTTTTGGTTTCTTCGTTAGAGCTTCTCAAAAATTGCCCAAACACGATTTTTTGACACTTTGACTACGTTTTTCTCAAAATCCGGAACTGATGAAAACTTTTTATATAGGGCCTGTTCGAGGCACGTAATATAAACGGCAATACTGCAGCACTGATGAAAATTTGCAATACTGCGGTTGTGATTGCATCTCGAACAAGCCCATAGCTGCAATCATTGCCGCAACAAAATTTGTTTCCATTTTTGTTTCCCGGTGTAATTATTCGTGAACTCGTCACTGTTGGAATTATTTCTGATAATCAGGCAGGTTCTGTAATTAACTTCCGAGTGAATTCCAACCAAAGCCACATTGAACTCATATTGATAGTTGTTGAAATTTACTCGGAAGTGAATTGCAGAGCCTGCCTGAGTACAATTTTTTATGAATACTTAATAAGAGACTTTATGCAATAGGAAAATGGGCGCTTGAAAACCCTGCATCAAAGTTCTAGTAAAATAATTTTCGACAAATTTACAATACATTTCTATTTTTGAAAATCAGAATAACTCAGTCATTCTTGAAAGATTTTCATTGTGAGATGTTATTGAAGATATATTTTCGGTCCATTTTTGTATCGTAGAAATGTTTAGTTACCTAATCACATCCCACGATTTTTAGGCAAATAAGTTGCATGAATTGTATGTGTAAAGCTAATATGGTGAAGAACTTTTAATATTCGGACCTTTCATCTATATTTCGTCCCATATTGTACCCGATTTCGGCTTAATTTTAAATTTTCAAATTCCATCCCTGTTGAACAACCTCTCAAAAACTGGTGCACCTCCTACTTTGACCAAAACTTTCGCCTCGTGAATGCCATTACGAAATACCCACATTACCTTGGTGCAGTTAACGTCCATCAGGTTAAATTTCTACTTATCCAGATTTGATTCCGTCATACACCTCTTTCCCTTTGTTACGATCCCTGGGCCTACCGTTAGTTAAGCTTGACAACGGTTGCTAGATTTCCCGATTAAGGCAGGCCTTAGTAGTGTCGCTAGAGCACGCACTAATTTTCTTCATATAGATATACATATGTACATATCGTTAAACGTGTGATATAACACCGTTGTTTTTGGTATTAACACTTTAAAATTTTTAGTGAAAGGATATTTTAATATATCCTACCAGAATCTGTGAAAAACGCAGTTTCGAAAAAAGTGTTGGTTAGGACTGTACATACATACATACATATTTTTCCTTAATTCACAAAGGCCTAACCAGGAAATTTTCTATTTTACAGGAGAAACAATAACATTATGAAAAGAAAATCATGCATTTTAAAAAATTACATAACTCCGTTGTTCTTGGTACTAACACTTCAAAAGTTTTAATGAAGGTGAATTTTAATAAATCTGAAAAACGCAGTTTAGAAAAAAGTGTTGGTTAGGGCCTTTGTGAGTTAAAGTAACGATATATATATCCTCAAGACATATGCAACAAGGAGAACCTTGGGCCTTATAAAAAAATTACTTACAATTTTTAGAACTTTTATTTAAATTTATTTAAATAAGTCGAGTAAGACCCTTAGAATTTTAAGAAAAAGCAATTGCTTAGTTTTTATTCATATAGCCCGTTATCTCAGCTTCTGGTTAAGGGAAACTGAACTTTCTCCAATAAAAAACTTAAATCACTTTCGTGTATTTCTACATTCATACTCAACCAACGTAATTAAAAAGCTTATTTAAAGTAGCGATTATATGGTGACTGGTAAAAACGTTAACTTTTTTGAAAAAAGAATTGCGAAAAATACAGTTTTTGTATTTTTGAATTTTATTTCTAGTTTTTTTTTTTTTTTAATACATTTCGTAGGATTTTATATTTGAAATACCATTAGAAATAACGTTATTTTACAACTCCCAACACTGCTCTGACATACCCCCATGCATTTGCTCCCTAAACGATCTCGCCTACAGATTTGCAGAGGAAATTTTGTCTTTCTTCCGCTTAGTTGCAAATAAGTCGTACTCACTATCATCATTGTCACCTTCGTAACCAATTTCTAGAGAGTTTACACCATTGCTCTCATTATTAATCATCTTGTATTCACACAAATTTTCCGTAGATTGATAGGCGTCCACACTGGTTAGACTGCTACAGCACGAAGCGTAGCAGGATGGCGTTGTATCTTTTAATTTATTGTAATCGATTGCAACCGGCGCCTCTTCGT